GGCCCCCAGTGCCTTGCTACCTCGATTAGCTAAGCCTGCAGGGGCCGTCGCTCGTTGCAGATCGAACAGGGCGCATTCTAAACAGGACGGTTCCGGAGCAGGTAGGACGCTGCTCACCCGCCGAAGGCCATTCGGGGCCAGCCATTACCCCTTAAATCGGCCCTCTTGCCAGCATCTTGGCCATCAACCACTGCTACCACGAGTCCAAACCACTAATTGGCCAAGCAGAGGGGTCGCTACTCCCTCCGGGCTTACACTCGACCCCCGTGGTACCATCCTAAATCATTGGTGGGACTATCGTGAGGGTGTACGGCACGTCACTGCCGGCCGGCGACCTACTAACCGTGTTCGGCAGATCCAGATGGGACTCACTTAAGCGGGGGCCTCAAGGTACAAAGTACCCGGGAACTTATCCCGACGGTCCCATCCTTGGCATCAGGATGGTGGGTGCACTACTACCCAAGGTCACGTAGAGAGAGTGTAACCGTACCTTACGCTTACACTCCCGGCGACTTTCCTTGCGGTGTACATAGAGGACTCACGTAAGCGGGACGCTTGTCCCGACGGTCCTCCCTGGCAACGGGAACGTGGGTTTGCCAGCCCCCATAGATTTACATAAGCAAGTCCTCCGTGCGGGAATCCGGACTAGGTAGCTGGGAACCTCGAAGTGCTCCAGGGCCATCACTATCCTGTCCCATGGCATGGAGTTAAACACGTTGACGATGTCCAAAGAAACCGCCAGCGCCACGCCGTTCTGGGAAACCATGTCCTCTGCAAATTCCCTCACGCGTCTGACCGCGTCAATCGTCGAGCGTCGCTTCCGGAAGCCGTACTGACTTTCGTGCCAACATGGCACCTGACCCGCTATATGTCACTCCAAACGGGTGGCGACTACCCTCTCGCGTAGTTTGCCGACCTCGTCTAGCAGATACATCGGCTGGCGGTACGGTGACGGCGAGGTCGTCGGTCGGCCCTCTTTACGGAGCAAGGCCAGCCTCGCCATCCGCCATGCCCGGGGGTAAACTCCCTCTCTCAGGCATCTTGTGTCGAGGCGCCGAAGTCTGGGGGACATGACCCCCATCACTTCCCCCCAGATCCGATCCGAGATTCCGTCCGGGCCCGGCGCCACGTCGCGGGAGGCCATTCTTCTGGTCGCCGCCCATATCTCTTCCTCCCTGACTTCCCAGTCGTCCCTCCATTCCAACGGTCGTGTCATTTCCCGCGATCGTTCTGCCGCACTGCCTTCTTGCGGGGGAAAAGCGTCCCGATGATCCGCAGCAGCAGCGCAGGTTCCATTTCCATCGTTGGCTGAGGGTCCTACGCGCGAAGTTCCTTGATCTTCCCAGGTTAGTTTGGAAGATGCGCATTTAACTAATTTGGACCAGGTACGGTCCTTCGCGTTTTTAATCTCCTTTTGCAGCGAGCGCCGTAGCACGCGGTACGCTACGTAGCGCAAGGAGACTTCTTCTTCGTCGCGCCGTCGCCAGCGGCGGGCCCTTAGGTACTTTCTTCGGGCCCGAACGCATCTCGTCTTCAGCTCCGCGATGTCAGGGGTCCACCAGATTGCTCTGCTTCGCAGCGTGTCCGGTGTGGCACATGGCATGGATGCGTCGCAGATTGCTGTCATGGCCCGGCGGAGGTTCTTGGCCTCCTCTTCCATGTCTGTTTCGGTTGTCGTCGTCGAGGCCTCCCAGCTCCAAGCTGTTGCTATAGCAGTCGCCCGGAGTAGATCTCCGTTCATCTCTCTAACCTTCTATCTTGGCGGTGGTCACCCGCGTCCTTTCCTCGGCGGGCCGCGACCATCGCCTGCAGTCGCCGTTCCAGGTCCAGGTGTGTCCACCTCCCTGAATATGTAGATGTAGAGGTAGTCTGATAGTGTCTCGACACATTCGGCTACTCTTCAATCTGAGATCCGCCAGAATGCATCGGGGGAGGCCCATGTGATGTCGACGATGGAGCTCCCTCTCCACGCCACTGGTCGAGCCCCTGTTCACCAACAGAAGTCCAAGTCCCGCGTCCCAGTTTGACAGCGCGCGGCCGCGCGCATTGATCCTGTCGTTCCCCCATTCCGCGAAGTGCGCGTTGAAGTCTCCCAAGACGAGCACTTGCCGCGGAAGTCGACGCCTGACGCAGTCGCCAACCCCGTCCAGGAATTCCTCGAACGCTGCCCATCCGCTATTGGGTGACACGTACACACCCATCACCACCAACCCTGCCCACTCGACCGCGACGTAGCCGTTGCCGCGTTCCAGCAGGGTTCCGTGGGCGAACGACCCCGGCGTTGATGTCCAAGTGACAGCAACCATTTCGTTCGTATCTCTGGCCCATTCCGGAGCATCCAGAACTCTGTATGGTATTGCCACCACCGCTAGGGCGACCGTATTCTCCCAAATAGTTTGGTAAAGCAGGTCTTGCGCTCGCCTTGATCTTCCCAGGTTAGTCTGGAGGAGGCGCATTTTCAGTCCTCTAGTGTCGTTACTTCTCTGGCTTCGTCCGTGCCAGCTTTTTTGTTCACAGACTTAGGGTCGCCTTGCGACGGGTAGCTTTTCTCGTTGCCGCTTGCAGCTGTGAATTCACTGGTGGCTCCTTTTTTGTTCCTTTCTTGGGGGGGGGGGGCGAGCAGATCGGTCCACCCATCCTGTGCACAGATGGTGCTCCAAGCGCATCGCAGAGCAGGCATTTCGGGCTCGCGGCGGTGCATGCTTTCGCTTGGTGCCCTGGTTTGCCGCATCTGAAGCATAGGTGCCCCTTGTCCTCCTTGGCGGTGCAGGACTTTCTTACGTGTCCAATCTCCAGGCACCTGTAACACTGTAAAGGTCTTCGCTCGATGGCTTCGACCTTCGCTGTCGACCTACCTATGGCGACCTTGCCCGCCTGGGCCAGTTTCCTCACTGCACCGGCCGGGCCTCGTATCCACACAGATCCAAGGCCGTTTCGGGCGGGGCGGATTTCTCCCAGTCGGACGTCCTCCGGTTTGCAACCGTTCTCCTTCGCCAGGCTATTCTGGATTTCCTCCTTCGTGGCCGATATGTCTATCATAGACACCCTTGCTTCCGCGGCTCGAAAGGGTGTCGCCACGCGGACCTTGTTCGGATCCAAAGACCGCGTTAGGCGTGCTGCGAGCGCTGCGGCCTTCTCCCTCTCCTGATTCTCGGGGATCTCCAGAATGACACCTTCGGTGATGGTTTTTCGCATCCTCATCGTGTTGATGCCGACCTCAGCCAGGGAGACGCTGTCCCTGGCCGCAGCCAACACCTCCGCGTAGGATTAGCCCGAATTATCTGTCAGGGTAATCGTTACCGCCGACGTTCGTGCTGTATGTGGGAGGGGCAGCTTGCCTCCTCCTCTTCGCGCGTTCTCAGATCCACTCTCTGGGGCTTTCCTCAGGCTCTTCGCCCCTGTCCCGGGGGTTGGTTTAGGCAGTTGTTTCTTCTCTGCCTCCTTCTTCTTTCTATCTTTTTTTCTTTTCGACGGTCTGCCATTCCGTGGCAGGTGCTTGTCCTCCCTTGATCACTGGAGCGTTTGGGACTCCGGACTCAATCCTTCTTGTGCTCTCGTCCGGAGCGACCTTCTATCCTTCCTGAGCTCTCGTCAGGAACGGCCTCCTTTACTTCCCTCCTTTCTATCTTTTGAAGGCGCTCTTCTAACCGGTGCAGCGAGGGTCTTGTCTCCTCTATCTCGTGTTCTATTGCGCCGAGACGCGCCGTGTCACTGCTCTTCTCTGTGGCGAGGCGCGAGGCTCTTCTCTGCGGCGGGGCGCGCGGCCAGCTCTTTTCGGAGCGCCTCGGCCTCCGCCTCTAGTGTCGCTATGCGTCCTTGCGCTATAGCGAGGGCGCCGGAGGCGGTGTTTATTCTCCTCACCATCTCTGTTGCGCCCGCAGCGGTAGTCCTTACCGCTTCTTTCAACGTTTTCCCCTGCGTACCTTTGAGGTTGTGAGATGTTTCGGCAACTTTGGTCACCTCTGCGACTCGACGGATCAGTTCCGCTCCTATGTCCGCCGTAGTAGATGTTCGCATCTCTTCGGCTAGGTCCTCTTCCTCTGTCGTTTCTTCCGTCCGTAGGCAAAAATGGCCACTTCTTCCGCACTTGTTACTCCACCAGTCATTGCCACTTTCGAATGGCCCGCGCGGCGGGCTTTCGACGCACGTGCCAATATGGCTGCGTCTGTGTAGTTCCTCGGCTAGCCCGCGTAGCGACGCTGTTGTCACGCGTCCTAATATGGCTACCCCACCGTCATAACCTCACACTTGGTTTAATTCCGCCTTTAACGCCTTTCCAAACCAGATTTCATGGGTTCCTACACCCGCTTTACTTTCACAGTACTAATCCTTCACTCTGGTTACCTTCCTTGCCTGATTTCTCCAGTTTTCCAGAGATTTAGTTTACGCTCTCGGCTCCGCCCTCCCTACGTCTGCTCCCTTCCTAATATATACCTGCCAACTCGTCCTTCCAAACTGGAACGTTTGGTTGGACGGCGGCGGGCCTCCCCTGACCTACGGGGTGACGCAGGTGTTCACCGGACATGGTTGCTTTGGTGAGTATCTGCATCGAGTGGGACTGCATCGAATCGGGAAAGAGGCAACCACGCGTTGCCACCACTGCCATGCGGGCGTGGATTTACCACAGCACACGCTGGAATACTGCCCGGCGTGGGCGTGGCCGCGCCGCGACCTCATCGTGGAAATCGGATGGGACCTCTCGCCGCCGACGGTCTTCGAGGCATTGTTGGTAAGCGAGAGAAGGAGGAAGGCCGTGACCTCCTTCTGTGAGCAAATTATGCTTCGCAAAGAAGCCGCGGAGAGG